CCTAAAACCCTAAAACCCTAAACCCTAAACCCTAAACCCTAAACCCTAAAACCCTAAACCCTAAACCCTAAACCCTAAACCCTAAACCCTAAACCCTAAACCCTAAACCCCCTAAAAACCCTAAAACCCTAAACCCTAAACCCCCTAAAAACCCTAAAACCCTAAACCTGGTCTCATTCCGCGTAGGATACAATTATAGCAATAGAGTTCTATCATTCCAATGTGAAAGAAATTCAAAAAAAAACTAGTAGATATGAAAATGGATTGTCTAATATATGAGTTGACTAGAGATCTTATTAATTGATATGACTATGATCAAATAAAGAAGAAAAATAGTTTCATCACTAATAAGAAAGAGTGAGCTCTAGTAAGATAATATTAGAATTGAGAATGGTCTTTGCCTGGGCAATATAACTATGCATGCTAAAATAGACCTATCCATTTTACTATGAAGGTTCAACAATGCAAGATCTAAAAATATATACTAAATTTGAATTTTATGAATTTTTTCAAAAAAATATTTAAAAACATATTGATTTACAAAGTCAAGTAATTATTTTTGAAAAAACATCTTCAAAAAATTTATGCATTTTTTTGAAGATGATAGAAGTTGCTGAAATTGAAAAAGTAATTTGTTGACAAATAGGAAAGTTAGTGCAAAATAGATTAAAGTACATTAAATTAATATTTTTTTATATTTTGTTTTTATAGCACCCTCAAGTTTATCATGAATTCAAGGAATTCTAAAAAAATAAAGTTGTAAATATATTATATCATGGAATTTACATCTCAAACCAAATTTAGGCATTTTTTTTAACATTACTTCTAGCAATAAATTTTGGAGATATCATTCTACCATTGTAGATCTAAGCACTTGTAATAACAATAGAAGGTAGCATTAAAAAAGAATCAAATCAAAAGACTTATTGGTACTACTTTGTAGCCTTTGACTAAGAATTTTGAGATTTCAATATTGTGGACTACCTTTTGGATCTAGTTTACCATGCTTGCATCTGCATCAAATATAAGACATTCACTTTCAAAGGACAATCACACGTATGGAAGAAGTTGATAACAATAAATGAAAAGGAATTAGGGGCATCCAGACATCAAAAGGAGTTAAACTTGTCATCGGCATCATCGAGCACTGAAATAATAGGTGCCCAAGTTGGTATTTTTAATATCAATTTTGTTTTTAGTGCCTACATCCAAGGAATGAGATCACTTTGCTTAAATCATGCAGTGATGACAAAAGCAACATGTACACCATTTTGCATTCAATAAACACCATCATGGTGAAGAAAGGATATTGCTTACAACATTGCTAGATTTGTTAGCAAGAGAAAAAAATATATTGTAAGATGAAGTTTTACTTTTAAAATTGCAGGTAATATACAATCAACAAGCCTGTATTTGAATTCTTGCTTACTAAACTTAAAATGAAATCTTGCAATCTTGCTAAGACACCAATGAAACCAAGTCAAAAGTTATCCAAAGGTGATTGCCCTCAAACTAATCAAGAACGCAATGATATGAAAACTGTTCCCCACATAGCTGTTGTTGGTTCTCTTATGGATACTTATGTAAACACTTGACTTGACATATCTTATTCAACAAACTCTGTTGCTCAGTATCTTTCAAATCCTGGCACTGGATCTATGCTAAAAGAATTCGTAGATATTTAAAAGGAAAAAAATATTTAGGATTATTATACAGAGGCTTTCCCAAGTCTTTCACATCAACAGGATATTCTGATGCATTATACAGAGGCTTTCCCAAGTCTTTCACATCAACAGGATATTCTGATGCAGACTGGGCTGCAAGTATTGATGACTGAAGATCCACTTCGGGTTATTGCATTTTACTTGGCAATTGCATTGTAAACTGGACCAGCCGCAAACAACGCTCTGTAGCCCTCAGTTCTACTGAAAGTGAATACATAACAATCTCCAGAGCATCTTCAGATGCTGTTTGGCTACGCAGGCTTCTCACTAGCCTCAATTACCCTCAATTATCTCCCACTGTTAATACTCAGATAATCAAAGTGCAATTCAATTGACTCAGAATCCAAGGTTTCATGAACGAAGTAAACATATTGCAATTCAGATTTACTTTGTTCGTGAACAAGGGGCTACTATAGAGGTGTAAATAACCTATGTTCCTACAAGTGATATGGCAGCTGATATGTTAACTAAAAGTCTACTAGCGTGAATTAAAATACAACCTCCAAGTCTCCAACTTCATAATTATACAAAGTTGGGTATTCAAGAAAACGAGAGGTGGAGAAAAATAAAAGACCGAGACAGAAACGGTCAAGACCACTTCTATACCAGTGAATGTCGCCGTTGGTTGGCCAACGGTGGAGAGAGTTGTTGCATTCCTGATTGTTGCACAGGCTGCCAAATCCCCTGCGCTTCGAAAGAGGCGGGAGCTTGCGGTGGTAGAGGTGGCAATGCGCCAGTGGTTGTCTTTGTTACAGTAAATATTGTTGTAGAGTGTACGTAGAACTGGCATGTCCAGAGCTAATATAGAGAGTACACATTTAGCCTGTGATTACCGCAACATATTAATTTCAATCAGCACTGCATTATGTACC